ACGCCTTGGCGTGGCGGGTAGGGGCGGGCACGGCACAACGGACCGTGCAGGGCGGGGCAGGCCTCGGACGGCCGGTGAGGGCGCTCGGGCACGGCGGCCAGCGAGGGCGCGCGGGTCGCGGACGGTGGGGCGGGGCGAGCCGCGGCCGGGCTGAGCGGGACGGCGCGCGACGTGGCGGGCGGGGCGGGCACGGCGGCGCGGGCACGGGGCGGTGCGGGCGGGGACGGTAGAGAGAAAGAGAGATTAAGAGAGAAAGGAAACTCGGGCCCATACGTAAGAGGGCTTGGTGCCAGGATTGTTGGCGCCGAGCTCGGCGCCAAGATTCACAGCGCGTCCATGGCGCCAACGTGGCGCCAAGCTAAGGGTCCAGATTTTGAAATCTTACCTACAGAGGCATATTTGTGAAAATTTTTTAAAAAAATGCTAAAAAATAAAAAATTCCGACGCTCAACAGAGTGTGCATAATGCAGAACCGGATGTCATAGCCTCCCAGCCTACAAGGCTGATGACAGAGGCCCCTCCTCCACATGATATAACATCACCACAAATTCTCATGCAAGGTATGCCCGATGCCATTACAGGAGATGAACAGGACCAAACACAAGGCCTCGGCGCTGGTGGCCGCACCCTGTTGGATGCTACTCCATACCAGGTATGCAAATTTCTAGTGCAGCTAACCCCCAGGCAGGCTGCTGCATACAGCACTGTACTGCTGGGCAGACGGACATGTACACCATAAGGATGCCGGCTCCATTCAAGGTGTAAGATGCTATGTTGATGCCTCCCTTCTACCTGATCAACCATCTCTGCCCCTAGAACGGCGGGACTTGGTATATTCTTTGTCAATCCGCAGGTACAGCCAACACAGACAATCTACGTCAAGGCGGTCGTCTCCGATGTTTCCTCAGTGCTTATATGGCGGAGGCTGCTGCTTTAACCCTTGCAGCAACGATCAGCGACCTCCTCTACTTCAACAACACAACTTTCTTATCAAATTGTCAACAGTTAGTACACTTTCTCACTGCAGAGGACCAAAACCACCCTCCAGACTGGATGATCAAATCTTTCACCCAGCTCTTCAGCAATTACTCCAGACGACGGCAAGCGAAGCTCTTCAAAATTAACAGGAACCTCAATACAACGGCGGATGCCCTGGCTAGACAGGCGTTCTCTGTCTCAGTTCCTATTAATTCATACTTTGAGCCTGTGTGCTCCTACACTTGCCACTCTACCCGGTGCGCACTCTTGGATGCACTGAATTGTGTAAACTTACAGTCTGTAAGACTGCTTGCAGCTTCTTGCTGCTGAAATGAATTCGTTTGTTGTAAAAAAAAGGTTTTTTTGATAAACATCTCAAGTTTTGCTTGGATGTATTAAGTTCCTGATTTCTTTGATTCTTTCCCTACAAGGGCGGTATATTCGGGCAACTGTAGTTGGTAGGCCTTTGCAGTGCCTCCATGGCTGTGGCTGCATGCGAACTAGACCTGCGTTTTGGCCCATTACTAGGCAATAGAAACAAGCAACCCATAGGGACAAAGTACAGCCCTGATAACGAATCGGCGGCCCAGTGAGGTAAACGAATCGGCGGCCTAGTGAAAGCCTGTCACCTCAGACTGGGCCTCAATGGCAGCCCACAACACAGGGCACCCAGAGGAATTTATTTTACCTCATCGAACTATCGTTCGTAGTCTTATTTTTCTCATTGAACTCTAAAACTATACATCCCCGAACTCTCAGAACCGTTCATGGTTTGAAGTGGTTTTGTCTTTTTATCTAGTTATATAAATTTTTTTGATAAATACTTGACAAGGTTTTTGAACCACACAAAATGTCTCTGTCCTTCTAAAAATTCTGAAAATAAACTTATACATATAAAGTTTTTGTTATGTAACATAAAAAACATAGTATAGAAGAAAAATAGATAGATTAATATAAAAAGGAAATAGTAAAAAAAGAATAAATGGGTGAAAACTATAAGTAATCGAGCAGACTCGCTCACTGGATACAGTGTCGGGAGCGACTCGCTCACTGGACATAGTGTCGGGAGAAAAAAAAAGAGAAGTGGGTCCTGTTGGGAACCGCCGTGCGCCGAGGCACTTTGTTCCGGGGGCGAACGTACTGTCAATCTAGATTTACGATTAGAAGCTTGATTAATTAAGAAAACATAGGACTTGGTAGGAAAGGGATGGTTTTCTAATGGTTGAAGTTGTATTTTGGCATGGATTTCTAATGGTTTTCGATCCCTAACGGGATAAGTCCTGTCGGGTTCATAAACCTGGGGTCCCTCGCGGACTGGCTTCCCCGCAAAGGCTCGGCCCAAACAGGCAGCACGCAACTCATGGGCCGATCCAAATACCTGAGCAGCAGGCCGGGGGAGTGATCCAATCTCCGACCGGAAGGCCAGGCCGAGGAGGAACAACGCCTGTTTTCCGACTCCGGCCTACCTCTCTGACCGGAGCGCTCGCTTCGGCCTCCAACCCGCCTCCGGACGGTCTCTCCGACCGAAAGGCCTAGCAAAGCACTACCTCCGGCTCCGACCCTGCGCCTCCGACCGGGGTATGCAAAGACCCTGCTCATTACTCTTCTCCGACTGGCGCAACCAGAGCCGACTGGGACCAACAGATTGGGGACGCCCGCACGGAAAGGACCAGGGAACGAACGGAGAAAAACAAGGCAAGGCACACAAGTCCAAACACGATACCAGGGACCATACCCTGCACACCTACATGAACAGTGCTCTGCAACCGCCCTAACACAAACAGTATTGTAGGCGTCGATATTTTCCTCTACAGTATTGTGGGCGCCGTTAAACTCCCATACGGTAAGACCCCCCACATGTCTCTGGGCATCGATAGTGTTGTGGGCGCCGGGATTCACCGTACTGGGTGATCCTGGTGAAACCCCTCACATGCCTCTGGGCATCTACAATATATGCAGGTACCGATGTCTGCACACCTGAAGAGGACAACACCACCTCCCACATGCTTCTGACACTCAGCAGTAACATCAACAGTGTTGTGGACGTCTACCATTATCTTGTACCCGCCGGCGTGGGCAACAAAGCTCAGTAGCATACGTACCCTCACCCTCTCACTTGTAAAGCCATCCCCTTCATCTATAAAAGGATGCGCTCCCTCAACATAACTTCAGCCTATGAGAGCCCTTTTTAGTTAATCAACATCGATCAAGTTCACTAGCTCACAACCACGTAACCGCTGGGTTCGGACGTCAACACGCACGCTTGAACACTTAGGTCATAGCGTAGCTCCTGTCGCTCTCGGCCCTTCCGACCGGAGCCGACCGAACCTCTTGTACACCCCATCTTTCTCCTTCTTGTTTGTAACCCCATTGCAAACTTCGAGCACCTGGGCTCAGGAATAAAGTCACTGACCGACTCAAACTGGACGTAGGGCACGTTGCTCGAACCAAATAAATCCTGTGTCATTGAGTGCTAGGCCACCTCCGATCACAACGTGCACGCAAAACTACAAATATTTACTAGTTGGTCACTTTACTGCATCGACAAGTCCACTCACCCTAAAAATATAAAGGGTCAGAAACGAATCATACCAAACAAATCAATCTACTCTCTTTATCCTTATTCTCTTCTTCCAACCTTGATATGTTGTTCATCCTTGATCTCGACAATCAGAGATGGCATCCTAGGTTTGCCGACCGACGGAGTCCCTCCCAGCGATAGTTCGACGGTCTCTTTGCTCCTATAAACTAGTCGCTTTGTCGCTGTATAAACATGATAGTTATCCTTGGTTTGTTCGTAAACCTAGCCATTCTTCACCATGAAAGTGTGACAAACATCATTCTCCGCACGGATTCATCGACCATCAAGCCAAAGACATGTCAAAACCAGCCAAGCTGAACATGCCGGTTTATGTTTCCCTTTCTACTCTAGTTAGGCGCAGCCCCTAAAGCTTCCAAAACAGATCTTTTCAAGCTAGTGGAAACTTTGGAGAGTTCAGTTGATTGCCAAAAGCTACTGGACTACTGGAGCGAGTAAACTAATATTACAATCATGATTAGAAGCTTGATTAATTAAGAAAACAGAGGACTTGCTTGGTGGGGATCGGAAGGGATGGTGCTGGTATAGCATGATTAGAATCAGTGACGACCGCCAGGGTCTTGTTTGATTTCGTACCAGTTTTTTTTAGATAATGGATAAAATAATATCCGGCCTCTACATCCATAGATGTACACAGCCCATTATTACAAAGTTTTGGAGAAAAAAGAGAGAGCCAGTCTTATAGATCGACCCGGACGCTAATTCAAATAGTATAAATGTTTCCATCCTTTATTGGATATCTCTAAAGCAATTATTTTCAATTTCTTGCTCATCGTAGAGAGCGCGTCCTTGGCTATCTCATCACGCTGTAGCTGGGCCCAAGAGCATAACCAGTACGCTCCTCTGAAAATTACCTGCATCATAGAGTTAGATCTCATTTGATTAAAAACAACATCATTACGGCATCTCCAAATAACCAAAACATGGCAGCCACCCCCACCCAAATCAAATTTCTAATCCTTTTATTTTGATTAGTTAGCCAACGGTCACATAAGTTCGAATACAAAGTAAAGAGACTTCAACAATCTTGAAAATGTTCGCGTCAACAACAAACACTGGATGGATACAGCCCTTACTTGAGCCAAGGCCACGTTTAGTTCCCAAACTTTGGAGTGGCAAAAGTCCTGTAGCGGCACTGTAGCATTTCGTTTGTATTTTGTAATAATTGTCCAACCGTTGACTAATTAGGCTCAAAACGTTCGTCTCGCAAAGTATAACCAAACTGTGCAATTAGTTTTTGATTTCGTCTATATTTAGTACTTCATGTATGTACCGCAAGTTTGATGTGACGGAGAATCTTCTTTTTGCATAGTATTTTTCAGGAGTTTTGGAGTAACTAAACATGGCGCAAGATAATATCTCAAGAGTCAAAACATCCAAATTATTACACCAAACATACAGTGGCATTAAAAAATGATTATATCTACCCCGTTGACCCAGCTGCAACCACCGATTCCGCTTTACCAAGAGAAGAAGCTGCCATGTCTGACCATCCTACTGGGTACGTGGCACGAAAGCTGATATACACGACAGCGACCGTACCAATGGCCACCACCAGCATAACGAACAGGATGGCAGGTCTCTTCCCCCACTGTCCCATGATCCCGAGCGCAAACGGGTAGAGAAGCACAAGGATCCAGACGTTGAACACCATCCCAAGCACCGCGTGCTGCGCCTGCTCCGTGAGCAGCCCCCAGGTCGCCGCCTTGCCTACCGCCACGCCCACCGCCGCGACGTTCAAGGCCAGAACGGCGACGGTCGGGACCAGCAGCGGCACCCACCTCACGACGTACAGGTCGGCGAACCTGTCGCCGGAGCAGGCTTCCGTCTGCTTGGACGTGAGCCTGAAGTGGATGCCCTTCCCCGTGACGAGCTTCAGCGCCATGTACAGCACCGCCGTCGGGTACACCCCCGTGGCGCCGATCATGTAGAACTGCTCGTTGCGGCACCAGTCCAGCAGCGTGATGCCCGCCCACCGCACCTCGAACATGCCGATCACGTGGATCATGGCGATGACCGCCACGAGGTACAGGATGTACGTGCCGAAGGGCCTCTGGATGTAGTACTGCTCGGAGACGAGCCACATCAGCGGGAACAGGTTGTAGGCCAGGATGAAGACGGTGACGATCGGGTAGGTGGACATGTTGAGGTACGCCACGCGCTGCAGCGGGTGCATCCGGCCGCCGGCGAGGAACGCGTTGCTGTGGGAGAAGAACATCTCGAGGGAGCCGCCCGACCAGCGGAGCACCTGCAGGAGGCGCTCCGTGAGGTTGATCGGAGCCGTGCCGCGGAACGCCGCCGGCTCGACGGAGCAGTATATGGAGCGCCAACCTTGCCGGTGCATGCGGAACCCGGTCGCCACGTCCTCCGTCGCGATGTTGTACACCCACCCGGCGTCTCTCCCCCACGTAGTCATCCCGTCCTCGTAAGCGCACGTCATCAGCGACGCCACCTCGCTGCTGACCGTCTCTTCATCGTCGACGAACACCGGCGTGATAGCTCGTCGTTCTTGGTTCGCGCCGTCTAGTATTGTGTTTATGAACAATGTCGATCTACCATATTGTTTGCCCTTGTCGTCGTTCACCTTGCTCTCGTGTGCTCTCCACCGTGGTGGCTCCATGCCGTAGAGCGCGGCACGGCGGAACATGGTTCCGGTGCCGAGGTAGGAAGGCCCCTGCAGGCCGTTGAGGGAGAGCATGGTGCCGTCGAAGAAGACGCGGTTGTGGTTGGCGTACCGGTCCGTCGGGTCGACGTCGTCGAAGCGCTGCGGGAACTGGACGAACGCGGTGTTCTCGCCGTCGCGTGGGTCGAGCATGAAGCACATGCTGGCACGGAAAGCCTGCGAGTTGTTGATGTAGTGGTCGCAGTCGAAGTTGATGAGGAACGGCGCGTTGGAGAGCAGAGCGGATACCCGGAGCATCGCGTTCATGGCGCCGGCTTTCTTCTGGTGGTTATAGCCGGGGCGCTTCTCGCGAGATAGGTAGACGAGCATGGGGAGGCGCGTGTCAGTGTTGCTGAAGTCGAGTGGATTGTCAGTGCTTGCTGGTGACCCGAGCTGTGGTTTATGGCTCGGATGGTTTAGCACGACCTGTCAAAGAGCATGTTAATTAGTACACTAATTAGGATTAGCTCACAGTTTGTTAATTTGATGAATATTTTAAAGAAAATAAAGTCAGTGTGATGGAATGTTTACCTTAACAATTCCAGCGTGCTGTCCTTTTCTATGGTTCTCAGCCTGCTCGATCCATGTCCCAGGCCACTGCGTACCGTCAGCCATCCACGTCGCCTTCAACACACCATCTTCGTCCTTGGCATGCTTTCTGTTGTACGCTTCGGATCTCTGGTAGATGGTGCTGAAAAGAGAGTCTATCCTCACCTTGAACTCTTCATATTCTCTGCGCACGCGCCTGTGATCACTCGCGAACTCCTCCTGCATGCTCCCCGTGTACGGCTGCCTCTTCACTCCGAAGTAGCTCTCCGGCGCTCTCGGCTCCACGCCATGCTTCCGGCAGAAGGGAGCCCATAGCTTGGCGAAACTTGCAACTTCGAGCATGGCTTCGTAGTGGACCAGCGTGCCGCCGTCGTCCGAGAGGTAGCAGGCGTACTTCTCGACTGGGTAGTCGGTGGCGAGGATGGAGAGGACGGAGTTCACCGTGTACAGTATGGGTTCGTCTACCGGGTCCACGGTGGTGATGAAGACGTCGATGCCGGGGAGATTGGAGTTGGACTCGCCGGAGGTCGAGTACTCGTGCTGGTCTCTGATGGCGGCGAGGTCCGGGACACGCTTGATGGGGTTCAGCTTCGGCAGCTGGTTGAGGACCCATGAGAAGCCGAACCAGACGTCGCCGACCATGGACGTGGCCCAGAGCCACACGCCGTCGTGGTTTCGGTTCCGGATGCGCCATATGAAGAAAGCGATGATGGCGATCAGCCGCAGGAGAATCACAAACCTGACAGAAAACGGGCAAACGCATTAGTATATCGATCTTGCATACCGTGGGCAAATTCAGTCAGAGATCAACAAATTTCGGTTGCAGTCAGTTTTATATATAATACCAAGTGATGAGTAGTGGCAATGTTTCTGTCGAGTTAGGATTATTCATTGATGCAAACCATTATTGCCACCTAGGGGAGGACATTCTTGCATTGAATGGCCAAAATAACCTGTAAGGATGCAGGATGCTGCCCTTGACCTTCATGGTCCGGAACAGCAGGGGCTGGCTGGAGTTGCCTGCAGGCATGTCTCCCTCCTGGACGGCCACCCAGACATCATTGTCCTTGGCGGCGGCGTCGTTGATCCGCTTGACCACTGGCGAGTCGTCAGCTGCCGAGCTGCTGCGCCTGCTCTCCTCGTCGGCGCCGTTGGTCGCGTCGACGTGGAGGCTGGCAATGGCATTGACCCGGCGAGTCACTGCCGCCTCGGCCATCATCTCGAACGGTGAGCCACACCTATTTCGTGTTGTGTCGTTGGTGGTGCATGCGGCTTGCCGACAGGGGATTATATAGGGCGGGAAAGCAGAAAAGTTTGGAAGACGGAGAGGAGGGGACTGAATAGAGAGGGTCCGTCCGTTATTGAGCATAGGAAGGAGCATCAGTTCAGTTTTTTTTTTCAGCACGGTCAAAATACAGCAACTGGGCCTGGGAAGCCGCCATTGCCGTATACTTTTGCATTCTTGGGATGAAGCTAGTGCACTACAGCACAGAATCAGGTTCCGATCGATCAAATTCAGGGGGCCAAAAGTCACCGTCTCGATAAACAAATGTTTCTTGGCTTGCGTGTCTCAAGTTTCAAAAGGAATATGACATCTTTATGAAAACGTGCACGCTACCCTAGTGGTAACAACGATTTGTTTGTTCGATATATATGCCTCCGGCTCCACGTGAGAATGAGATCATCAGACTAACAACAGCTGGGCTGAAAGGCACGACCGAACGCGGTGTCCGTGTTTCACTTGTGCAGGGATAAGCACGTTTGGTCAGTGGATGCTGTTGCTCTCTGGCTGCTGCTGTTCCTGACTTGCTGTGGGTCTGAGAGCTCGAGAAGAGCACCGCTACCGAGACTTCGCCGTCAGGCGAAGTGGCGAATCAGTTTTGGAGGCGCCGTGTGTTTATCGGGAGTGGCGGACTGCCCAACTCTCGACAGCAAAGGTGAAATTGGCGGCCCAACCAGCGCCTACAGTCTCCATATAACACCAGATCACCTCGCCCACTGATATTTCAGAGAACCTTTCTTTCTCTGGGAAGTCTTTCTGAAGAATGATGCCCAAAAATTACAGTCAGGCACTCCCGTGGGTTAGAAAATCGTTGTACTTTCCGTTTGAAAATAAGGTACAGATTGCTATCACCGCGAGGAAAAATGCTACTGCAATTTGTGAAGTTTGACTAATCATGTTTCGCGGAAAATTTAAGTTAGTCTGATAATAGTTTGGAACAGCCGAACAGATTACAGATAGAGTGAGCCCCGGCACTTGAAGTATGGTGCTCCATCCATTTGTCCTATTTGCTTAAGTCAGATTTTTCTTTACTATTTTTGTGTTTACTAACATCTTGTCTGCTAGCGAAAAAACAATCTAGGATTCCATTTTTTGAACACAATATATATAGGGTTCCATTATCCGGTCCCTTGTTGAATTGGACTGTACCGGACCAAAAACCAAGTACTCCCTCTGTCCGTGAAAGGAAGCAATTCTAGCTTCCCGATGTGAACTTAATAGGGTTGGACAATTATGCATGCACCCCTAGTGGTGTTGACAATAAAAAAGCCTACATCCTGCCATGAGGAGTGCAGACGGATGGGAAGAGAGCAACATGTGGATAGAATCACGCCAACAAGTGGGTAGCTCATTTCTTTTACAGCAGGTACAAATTCTCTGCAGCGCCATTTCATCTGGCGCCATTTTCAAGTGGCTAAAAGCAAAGATTACAAAATTTTAGATGCCGCCATTTACTCCTTCCTTGGCTTATAAAAGCCTGGCGACGACTGCCTCACCATCTTTGTTCACCCTCTTTCCTTGAACCCATGGCTTTAGATTTGAACAATCCACCGCCTGACGAGGGAGAGACCTTACCAAACCTCAACGAGAAGCAGCCTAAAGATGAGGATGATCTATTCCAGATCCATGATGCACATCAAGATGATCTTGTTGGAGTTGAGATTACTGGAGGGCAAAACCAAATAATCAGCCCAGGTACTTGTCTTTTTACTTATCTAAGTTATTGGAGTACTCCAACCTCACAAAACTCACCTGCTCTTGATGAACACCACCTACCAGATGGGGGAGGAGAAGCCATACCAGACCTTAATATGCAGCCTACACATGATAAAGAGCCTTTCCATGTTTTTGTTGGAGATGATGACATAGCTACAGGGGACGAAGGTATTAGTGCAGATGGAAATGACAACTTTGATGTTTATGGTGATCTTTTCGATCTCAACTTACATGCTTCCTATCAACCAGATCTAGACCATTGTAAGTGTTTTTGTCTGTATGTATTTTCTTCCATAGTTTGCCTACATGCTTTTTTATTAGTGCTTAATAGAAAACACAATGGCTTACAAGTTAAGATCCTTTCTGAGCTATTGGGTACATACATGCATGCTCAGGAATAAATTCAATGTAGAGTTACTTAATCGAAGGACTATATGACATTGTATTGAAAGCTATAGCACATAATCAGATTGGACTAGACATACTTTATCTCATATTCAAGGTTTATTTGTTGATGAATTAGTGGGTCAATGTGGTACCATGTCCAATAGAGACTTTAGGATGAAGAATTACGTACACAGAACCTCCAACTAGTGCCCACACTGCATGTAGTACCATGTCCAGTAGAGAAGTTCCTGCAAAATATATGAATAATGTACATTTAGTTATTATTTGTTAATAAATTTCACATTCCACAAATATAGATTACAATGATTAAAAACAAGTTAAACTAAGCCATCAAACAATAAATGGATGTACATTTGTTTAGTTCCGGATGAACACAATCAGCACCTATATTTTTTTGTAGTTAATGATGACTACATCCCAACCATGGAGGAAATGCATGAGTATGGCGTCTATGCCAATGAGGTGGACATCGTCTTTGATCAGGAATAGTTATCTGACTCCAGTGACGAAGATTATGAACCAGGAAATGGGAATTTTAGGACAAGGTCAAAGGATCTTACTACAGCTCAAAGGCAACAGATATATGAAGCACTGTTGGAGAAAAGCAACCGAGGAAAACTAACGAGAAACACTACAACTGAGGTTGCTGAATTATTTCATGACAATCGACATGCAGTGTGGCGTATTTGGCGACAAGCAAAGCAATGTCGTGCTAATGGAGTGCCGGTTGATGTTAGTTCAAGAAAGCCCAAGAATTGTGGCCGCAAAAAGGTTGAAATCGACACCTCACAAGTAGAGATTATTCCATTGCACAGAAGGTGTACCATAAGGTCTCTAGCTCAAGCTCTAGGTATGAAAAAAACCACAGTACATCAGATGTTCAAAGATGGGTTCCTAAGACGGCACTCCAACTCATTGAAGCCATATTTAAAGGAGGAAAACAAAAAAGAAAGGTCACGATGGTGCGTTTCAATGTTAGAGCAGCATACATTGCAAACTCAGCCAAAGTTCAAGGAAATGAAGAACATCATACACCAATATGAGAAGTGGTTCAACAGAACAAGAAAAGATGTGACCTACTACATGACTCAAGATAAAGAGGACCCACATAGGACTGTGTGAAACAAGAATTACATTGAAAAAATAATGTTCTTCTGTGCAGTAGCCAATCCTCAGTATGATGATGAAGGGAACTGCACCTTTGATCGTAAACTAGGCATATGGCCTTTTATAAGAGGTACCTGAACTTATGTGTTTTTTTTGCTTCAATTAGTTTCTATGGTTTGCTTTGGAAGCTAACATGTTTGTCAATTGATGTAGGAACCAGCAAAAAGAAAAAGTGGTAACAGACCAAGGGGACACCAATCAACAAGACAATGAAAGTTGATAGAGTCACAATAAGGTCCTATATGATTACTAAACTCCTACCAGCAATTAGAGATCGTTGGCCTCGAGATCAATGCCGCCAAACTATTTGGATTCAGCAGGACAATGCTAGGACTCATATCTCGGTTAATGATGAGGAATTTGCACGAGCAGTAGCCCACCTTGGGCTTGATATCCGCCTCACGAACTAGCCCCCTAACTCCCCTGATATGAATGTCTTAGATCTGGGGTTCTTTGCATCTCTACAGTCGTTGACATACACAACGATCTCTAACAATATGAATGACTTAATTGCCAATGTTAAGAATGAATATGAAAGCTATGACCACAGAGCAATTAGAAATGTCTTCCTAACACTGCAAGGTTGCATGATTGAGGTGATGAAGGCCGGTGGAGGGAACAAATATAAGATCCCTCACATGAACAAAGATAGGCTGGAGGCCAAAGAGCCTCAATTGTGACCGTCAACTATATGAGAGTGTGATGGAGTCCCTAAATGCGTAGTTTCTTAGTGTTTAGAACTCAACATTTTGTTGAATGCAGTGTTAGTGTGCTACATGTACAAAGGTGTTTGCTGGTAGTGTGCTGCATGTACAAATGTGTTTGCTACTACTATGTTGCATGTACAAAGGTGTTTGCTAGTGTGATCTCTATGTGTTGTCCAGTGCTTCAAAATGTACATATGTGTTCTTGTTTCAGAATATCAGCGAGACCTACTTTTGTAAGGGTATGGTATGTGTTCTATTAAAGAAGAAAAAAAGTTAATCAACGTTTCAATTAGAACTTGTGACCAAACACAAAAAAAAAACAGAAGGGAGCACACATGTTCACAAGTCTTTTAACGTCTTTCGAGAGAAAACTGCATTTCCACTATACAACAATGATTTTGGCTTCCTGTTAAATTACAATGTGCGTTCGCCATAATCCAACATCAAAGTAGTTAATGTCGTAGAATAATTTGAAACAAAACAGCTCGTCACAAATACAACGAATTAATGCCACAAGGCTGGTCACCACAAACTAAAGCCGAAATTAAGGTAGTTAATTTAGTAGCATAGTTCACAAAGAAACAACCCCATCATAATTACAACTAAATCCACAAGGTTGGTCACCACATACTAGATCAGTAGCATTACTCCTACCCAAAAGCCAACATTTTTTCCAGCAAGTTCAAACCAAACCATGCACACCAGTATACCTACATATCATTTCATCGTCACACATGACCTACTGATTAACACAAAGCGGCACTTACTTCATCATCACAAATATGCACATGACCAACAGATCAACCCAAAAGCAATACCTGATCGTCACAAATATGCACATTTCACTACGGTTGGAAGCATGCAGGCAAATAATTTTTAAGGATGCTGAGAAAGGTCTCGTGGAAGAGGGGTTCCATCCCGGCAAGCTGTAGCTTCAAGTGTTGAACCATCTCTGGGTGTAGTTCGTCAGCGGCGGCGGCAACATCCCCCACAGGGACGTCCACAATAGCCTGGACCGAGGCAGCCTTGATGACCGGATTTGCGGCCATGGTCATCTTCTCGGACTTGTTGCTGGCTGTAGACGCCACCACTGCACGTCCACAGTTGTAGCGCCCACCAACATCACCTCCGGGCAGCCCAGCACATCGACGAAGCTGTCGACGCTCACAGCCACGACCATGTCCATCTTCCTCCTTTGAATCAGGAACATAAAGTCCCGCCTCCATGCCGATGCCTTCATCTTCGGAGTCAAGGACATACAACTGGCCAAGGTGATCGACTCGAAGGCGACTACGCCCAATATTGAGGACGTGCTCCGGGCTCCCATCACCGCCACCTGCCCCTAGCTTCACGGGTTCCTTTTGTCTTGTACCACGGTCGCACATCTTGGGGATAGGCACGGAGCTCACGCCGCCTTCCCCAATCTCATCGCACATCTTGAGGATAGGCACGGAGCTCACGCCGCCTTCCCCAATCCCGTCGCACATGTTGGGGACATCGTCTTCCCCAATCTTGCCGACGGATCATGGGATTTTGTCGGTGCCCCCAAACACAGGGACGCACATGGGGCTCCCATCAGCGCCGCCGCCCGCATTGGCACCGACGACCAACACCTTAACTAGGCGCTCGGGGCTTCCATCGCTGTTGCTGCTGGCCAGCTTCGCACCTCTATGCGTGGACCGCCTAACCCGTTGGATCCAGCTCCCACGGGTACGGAAAGGGCGGCGTCGAGATCTAGCCATCCCTGTTGACGCGCGAGGCCTAAGGATGGAGAAGAGGAAGAGGGAGATGGAACAGAAAATGGAAGGAGGCGGTGCGGTCAAGCGAGCTGAGGGAGATGCAGCGGAAGATTGTTTCGACGACGGCTTCGTGGTTTCGCGGGTCTGGCTGGCGTGCGTCGTCGGGCAGCAGATGCGCGCGTGCGCTTCGACAAGTAGGCTCACGCGCGCTTTCATTTATCGGACCACGAAGGGCTCGGCGGCGTGGCGCTTTGGTCTCGCAATATCCGGCGCAGGAGAGACACGGCGTGGCAACGGAGGTTCGATGGTGGGCGCACGGCTCCGACGCTGGCGAAGCGGCAGCAGCAGAAGGGAGGCGCGCGGCTGGCCCTGGCATGGCGCACAGGCAGCGAGAGCGTAGGAGACTCGGGCCGGTCGTGCTGGTACGGGAGGCGGCGCGGTCAATGGAGTTGCGGGCGGTGGAGGAGAGTCGAGCGGATACATGCGAGCTGTAACGTGTGGTGGTGAGGAAAGTGCTGAGGAAGGAGATTTTTTTTAAGGGCAATGAAGGAGATGTTTTTGGGATGGTGGGATCAAGAGACACAAACGATAGCTACTCGGGTCCCTCCGTTTGCATTCTTTCATAGACAACGCTCCCACCCTCCGTTTGCAATCTTTACCGGACGGAGGGAGTAGTTTGAAGTGGAATAGCAAAATGTATCATCAAATGCGAGTAAAGTATTTATATTTGATACAATGGAACGTAATTGGTCTCCTACTTTACACAAGCTAAAAAAATGCAATGCTTTCTTTGACTAACACTGTCTATATTGGAATAACATTAGCAAGTAAGGTATGAAGAGCCACATATATCACGCCAACAATTACAAAGACTGCTGGCAGTAGTACCAACAGGATGATCGGTCTCTTCGCCCACCGTCCCATGATCGCCAGTGCAAAGGGGTAAAGGAGCACCATGATCCACACATTGAACAGAAGTCCGAGCGCAGCATGAATCTTCTTCGCCACTGTCCATACTCCCATGTACACCAAGGCCTTGCCCATGGCCACTCCAACAGTCCAACATTGGCAGCCAAGACAAACGCTGTGGGAATCAACATCGGCATCCATCGCATCTCATACAAATCGGCAAACTTGTCATTGGTGTTGGCGGTTATTTGCTTGGAAGTGACCCTGAAGTGTATACCCTTCTTCGTGAGGAGTTTCTTTGCCATGTGCAATAGTGCTATTAGGTATGCACTTGTCGATCCAACCCATGAAGAACTGCTCATTACGCCAATAGTCTAGCCATGTGACCCTAGCCCACTTTATCTCGAGCCAGCCAATCATGTGGATCATCAATATAATTATGAGAAGGTACACAACATACCTAGTGAAGGGCCTTTGGATGTGTATTTCATCGGGGACGAGCCACATTACCGGGCAGAGAGCATAGAGCAGGATGAAAAGTGATGTGACTGGGTAGACCGTCATGTTGAGGTAGGAGACACGTTGAAGAAGTTGCAGCCGCTGGCCACCGATGAGTGGGTTGTTGAGGGAGAAGAACATCTCTAGGGACCCACCAGACCAACGAACAATTTGGTGGAGGCGCTCTGTTAGGTTGATTGGTGCTGTGCCACAGAATGCATCATGCTGCATTGTGCAATACATGGAACGCCACCCTTTCCCATGGATGCGAAATCCAGTCACTATATCTTCAGTTGCTATGTCATAGATGTAGCCAACACCGTTACCCCAGTCAGTTCCTTTATCATAAGAAGCTGCCACAATCATCTCCATATTGGTGATAGATGTGTCATCAATTGGTGTTGGTGTGCTTAGCCTTTTTTTCTTCTATGGCTTTTGAGACCGAGTCTATTAAGAGTGTGGACTTGCCATACTTGCTAGATTCAGGTGTGATGTTGTCTTGTCTACAATGAGGTGGGTCAATGCCATAGAGCGCTATGCGACGGAACATGCATCCAGTGCCAAGGTAGGATGGTCCTTGCAAGCCATATAGGGCAAGCATGGTTCCATCAAAGAATACTCGGTTATGGTTGCCATACCGGTCTGTCGGGTCGACATTGTCGAAGCCCGAGGGAATTGAACAAAAGCAGTGTTACCACCTTCCCGTTGATCAAGCATGAGGCAGACTGCTGCACGGAGAGCTTGAGAATTGTTGATGTAGTGGTCGCAGTCAAAGTTGATGATGAATTGTGCATTGGAGAGTAGAGCAGAGACTCGCAGTTGTGCATTCAATGCACCCGCCTTCTTGTTGTGGTCATAGCTTGGATTCTTTTCACGAGAAACATACACAAGCATTGGTAGGCGCAACCCAGCAGCAACAAAGTCAGATTTATTTTCATCGTCGGCTTGGGGACTATGGTGATGTCCACGGCTTGGATGATCCAACACAACCTGTTGAAGGAATTAAGGTGTCAGAGGCAACTTTATTGTAATGGAATCAATATCTATAGAGTAGTAAGTAGGTTGGATAAGTATGCCTATTATATACTTTTTCGGAAATCAACAACATTTTACTGTGAACTTTAGTACCTTAACAATTCCAGCATGATGTCCTTTCTTATGGTTGTCTGTTGGATCCACCCATGTGCCTGGCCACTGCATCCCATTTGCCATCCATGTCGCTTGTGCATCTCCTTCTGAAGTTCTCATGCTGTTGTAAACATCCGAACGCTTGCAAATGGTGTCCGAAAGATTACCCAAGCGCACCTTAAACTCATCATAGTCCATCCGCAACCTCTTATAATCATTCATAAACTCTTGTGGTGCTCTTCCACCATGTGGTTGCGCCTCCATCTCAAAATACCTTTCCGGTGCTCTTGGCTCAATGCAATGCTTGTGACAGAATGGAACCCACAAAATTGCAAATTTTGCAACCTCAACTAATGCTTCATAAAGGATCAGTGACACTCTATCATCGGAGACGTAGCAGGCAAGTCTGTCGACTGGATAGTCGGTGGTGAGGATAGAGAGGATGGAATTCATAGTGTAGAGAGTGTCGGCTCATCGACAGGGTCAGCGGTGGTGACAAAGACGTCGATGCCAGGGAGCTTAGAGGTGCCATCTGGAAGGTCATAGTGTCGCCTGAGGGCAGCAAGGTCAGGTATGCTCTTGACGGGGTTGAACTTGGGAAGCTGGTTCAGGAGCCATGAGAATCCGAACCAAGCGTCCCCGGCAACCGACATAGCCCAGAACCACATGGCATTGGATCTGTTGTTCCTGATGCGCCAGACGAAGAATAGGAGGACCACGAGTAGGCGTACGAAGATTAGTGCCCTGTAACAGCAGAATGGTTGGCATCAGAATGATGTCGTCAATGCTGATGACTGGTGAAAGTATGTCATCGGGTATTCTGGTCTCTCGTTACTGAAATGCCAAATGGTTGTGCATGTTCATGTTACTATAATGTCAACAGAAAGGAAACAACACTGGTGCATGTGCCAGTTAATGACATTAGCATCCAAAGTAGTGCCTGGAACATGGGAATGTGCAGGTCAACACATGATAAGTTAAAGAAACTTTGCAAATAATATCTTAGTGTGCTTGTAAGATCGATCCTGTAGCCATCATGGCAGACTCCAACAAAAACGACTTGAGAAAAAAAAAGGTCCACGGTTCCGTAGTAAAAACATAGTACTGCACTCTGCTGTTGTGCTACTCTATATACTAGTACTACTGTGTGTGCGTGTGTGTATGAAATAAATGAAATATATACATTTGTATGCATGTTATCTAGCTTCCAATAAAAAATGCACGGTGTTCCTCACTCTCGTATGCATGCATATAAATGCTAACAAATAATGTGCGTGTGTTGAGTGGACGTGCGTGTGTACGGACAGATGATAGTTGTAACCAGACGAGAGACATTAAAAAAAAAAAGTTCAGTTTGACTGCGCGCCGGGGTACCTGTAGGGGTGCAGGATTGCGCCCCCTGAGCTTGTACGTCCGGAACAGCAGCGGCCGGCCGTCCTCAGCGCCGCACTCGGTCACCGCCCGCCTCTCCGCCTCGTCAGCTGCCACCCAGTACTTGCCCTCGGCGCCGCACTCCTTCGTCTTCGTGGCGCCGTTGCCATCGGCCGCTAGAAGTGGATCGGCGAGGCCGCCATCTTCCACAACGACAGCAGCGCCGGCGAAGTCACGGCTGCTGGTTGCCTAGGAACGGAGCCTAGCTGGCTAAGTGGCTACGCACGCACGCAGTGGCTCGCGGACTGCGGAGAGAGCGAGCGACTGCGCGAGCTGCAGCGGATATATAGAAAGAGACGCGGCTGGCCGGAAGGACTGACGACGATGGAAGTTTACTACACTAGCTAGCTAGGTCGGCATGGCCAAATCATGTTGAAAAAATGTGCGTCCAGATCTCTCTGCGGGATCACCGGATCGATCCATGTGCCTCCGGAGGCGGAACCCACGGCGTCGAGCTCGAGCGTCGTGTGGAGGCGTGCAGTGTAGCAACCATGTTCTACTAGCTAGATTCTTTTGCGTTTGTGTCAGGTCAGGAGATCATTAATATAAGGCGAATAAGTTTGGTGCGTTGACTATATTATACCTGGGCTGATTAGTTAACGCCTGGTGCTAACAATAATGCAAATTGTGGACGAAAGGATCGATCACAGCTGATGCCAGACATGGAGCTCTGCATTACGCCAGTCGGCACACGTCATGTACATATACATGTTCATAGTTGATCCGGTTTCTGGCCGAAAATAATTGAGAGTACTGGCCACTACCGTCATGAGACTGGTTTGTGAGAACTCGGCTTGGGAGTCGATTGCATTAAATTAAATCGTAACAAAGAAAACTGATGGCGCATTTTATATAAAAAAATAGGAAAAACAGAAACTTTATAATTTTGCGTCGGGCCCAGTTCTATGTCATCGTGTAAAGCAAGTCCACATATCTAATGCACGGCCCCAGTCCACGAAGCCGGTATCCTGCTCCAAAAGCGGCGGAGCATCTGAATGCGGAACACGCACGCACGGCCGATCAGGCGGTTCTGGGTACTGGCGTTTGGTCTGAATCGTCTCTGGCAACGCCGCCGCTGCCGCTGTCTTCCATTTCCCTAGCCAGCTCGTGTCCCTCGACCTTCACCTTCCCCTGCTCACAAGTAAGCCTCCGTACCCTCTGCCTCTACTTTAACGAAATCAATTGTTTGGTTTGGGTGGGGTCCTGCTGTTCCGTGCTGTAACCTTCAAGTGTTCGATCAAATGCCTGTGAGAAACCGGTCGGACGTTTTCCCCACTAGAACGTTAGATTCAGAGGCTCTGTGGTTTGTTGCCTTAGATTTTTGCAATATTTGCATTGGTTTCTTGTCCTCTATTTTGGAGATCATTCTCTAGTTTGGTACAGAGCAATTCTAGATACCTGGTGCTTTATCCGTGTGTTCACTCTGCCTTGCTGTATGAGCCTAGAAGTCTGTGTGCCATGCATCCTTGGCATTACCTGGGATATACAGGGCTTACTTTAGGCAGGCTGTGAATAAAAGTGTGTTGTTAAAAGCTGAATACTAGGATAATAGTAGGGCTGAATTAGGACCAGTAAGATATTATGCATTTCCAATCGTATCAGAAGTCATTGGTGGTAGGGAAATTAAAGCCTAACATCAATAACCCTAACATCAATAGCGAAATTGTACTTTTATCCTTAGTCATTGTTGCACAGCTGAAATAGGTTGTATGGGGCCAAAATCCAAGTGGACTGAATTTAGTTAGGATTATTCTGTATTATTACGATGTAAGAATACAACATTTATTTGATACAAAGGAACATAATTGGTTCCTTGGTAACTACACAAGAAATTACAATGTTTTCTATACCACCTAGAATGGAATTACACCAGCAAGTAAGATATGGACACCTACATACAACAGCGCAACAAGTGCAAAGACAACCGGCAGCAAGACTACAAGGATGATTGGCCTCTTCGCCCACCGCCCCATGATCGCTAGTGCAAATGGGTAGAGGAGAAACATGATCCATATGTTGAACAACAGACCCAATGCTGCATGCATCTTCTTTGCCGCTGTCCATGTTCCAATGTATACCACTGTTTTGCCCAGGGCTACACCAATGGCACCAACATTGCAGATCAGAACTGCCATTGTTGGGATGAGCATTGGCACCCATCGAAAATCATACAAGTCAGCAAACTTGTCATTGTCATCTCTTGGCTGTTTGCTTGGAAGTGACCCTGAAGTGTATGCCCTTCTTTGTGAGGAGGTTCACTGCCATGTGAAGCACTGCCATTGGATATGCACTTGTTGAGCCGATCATAAAGAACTGCTCATTGCGCCAATAGTCCAGCCATGTGACCCCCGCCCACTTTATCTCAAGCCAGCCAATCATGTGAATCATCACTATGATTACGAGAAGGTACACGACATACCTAGTGAATGGTCTCTGGATGTATACTTCATCAGGGATAAGCCACATCACCGGGCTTAGAGCATAGATCAGGATGAAGACTGATGTGACTGGGTAGACTGTCATGTTGAGGTAGGAGACACGCTGAAGGGGTTGAATCCGGTGACCACCTATGAATGGGTTGTTGTGGGAGAAGAACATCTCTAAAGACCCACCAGACCATCGCACAATTTGATGGAGGCGTTCAGTTAGGTTGATTGGTGCAACGCCACAGAACGCGTCATGCTCCATTGTGCAATACATAGAGCGCCACCCCTGCCCGTGGATGCGAAATCCAGTTACTATATCTTCAGTGGCTATGTCATAGATGTACCCTACACCCTTGCCCCAGTCAGTACCTTTGTCATAAGAACATGTTACAACCCTCTCTAATTCAGCAAGGAATGTGTCATCAATTGGTGGTGGTGTGATTGACCTGTCATTTCTCAGGGCTTTTGACACTGAATCTAGGAAGATTGTGGAGTTACCAAACCTGCTAGCTTCGGCTGTGATGTTTTCTGCTCTGCAGTGGGGTGGATCGATACCATAGAGTGCTAAGCGACGGAACATGCAACCCGTGCCGAGGTATGAGGGTCCTTGCAAACCATTAAGGGCTAGCATGGTCCCATCAAAGAAGACACGGTTGTGGTTACCATAGCGGTCTGTGGGGTCAACATTGTCGAAGCGCTGTGGGAACTGAACAAATGCGGTGTTGTCACCATCCCGTTGATCTAGCATGAAGCAGACAGCCGAACCTAGGGCTTGAGAATTGTTGATGTAGTGGTCGCAGTCAAAGTTGATGATGAGTTGGGCATTAGAGAGGAGAGCAGAGGCCCGCAGTTGTGCATTCAGGGCACCTGCCTTCTTGTTGTGGTCATAACTTGGGTTCTTCTCACGAGAGACATAAACAAGCATTGGGAGGCGCTCATCAGTGGTGCCAATGTTGAGATTGCTTTCAGTAATGGGTTCTGAACCATGATGCTGTCCACGGCTTGGATGGTCCTGCACAACCTGTTAAACAAGGAACGAAACCATCAGTGGTGACATTGCTGTAACAAACAACAGAAAGATTAAAAAATTTCCCGGACTAAAGCTCTGCAAGAAGTAAGTGACTGTCTCATTTTCAGAATTTCAACAACCACCAATCTGAAATTTAGTACCTTAGCAATTGGAGCATGGTGTCCTTTTCTATGGTTTTCTGTTGGATCAATCCATGTGCCGGGCCATTGAACCCCATTTGCCATCCAAGTTGCCTTTTGATCTCCTTCTGCAGCTCTCATGCTATTATAAACATCAGATCTCTTGCGGATGGCATCAGGGAGGTTGTCCAAGCGCACCTTGAACTCATCATACTCCATTTGCACCCTCCTATAATCATTCAAGAACTCCTGCGTCACCCTTCCAGCCTGCGGTGGCGCCACATGCTCAAAATAGCTTTCTGGTGCCCTTGGCTCAATGGAGTACTTGCGGCAGAATGGAACCCACAGAGGTGCGAACTTTCCGACCTCGACCAATGCCTCATAGAGAATCAGTGCCCCGCTATCATCTGAGAGATAGCAGGCAAGCCTGTCGACTGGGTAGTCAACAGCGAGGATGGAGAGGACACAGTTCATGGTGTAGAGTATGGGCTCATCAATGGGGTCGGCAGTGGTGACGAAAACGTCAATACCGGGGAGCCTAGAGGTGCCTTCAGAGAAGTCAAAGTGCTGCTTGAGGGCGGCCAGGTCTGGGATGGTCTTGACGGGGTTGAACTTTGGGAGCTGGTTGAGGAGCCACGAGAAGCCGAACCAAACATCGCCAACTATGGACATTGTCCAAAACCACATGATGTCAGATTTGTTGTGCCTGATGCGCCATGCGAAGAAGACGAGGACAGCGATTAATCGGATGATGATCAGCAACCTGTAACATGAAAACATGTCGTCAGTTCTCAGGCCATAGAAATGCAAGCTTTGCTCTCGAAATGCAAGCTGTGCAATCGTGTGTGTGTGAGTATGTGACCAGAATAGGAAATAGCAATCCTCCTGCAAGATCCTTTCATCTATTTGGCAATCCATATTACTATATTATTAGTGCTTGGAAGATGATGAGCCCCCAGTGGAGTCTCAGGTCAACGGTTGTCCATTGAAGAAAATTTTGCTGGCAAATTTATTAAGCCAGTAAGATCTAAGCAGGCAAAGTCTAACAAGGAACTAGGAAATGCGCGTTTAGCAAAAATATACAGCCTGTGCCCTGTTTACATAGTGAACTGTAAATAACTAAGTACATATTTGGACGGTATCTCTGTTCATGCCATGCACATTCAGTTTAGCTGAGTTGGCTTTACCTGTAGGGGTGCAGGAGGACGCCTTTGACCTTATACTTCCGGAACAGCAGCGCGCGGCCCTCCTCACCGCCGGCCTCCTTCGCAGCTCGCCTCTCGGCCTTGTCAGCGGCCACCCAGTACTTGCCCTTGGCGCCGTAGGCAGCCTTCCTCGGGGCGGCACCGTGGCCGTTCGCGCTCACTAGAAGTGGGTCAGTGAGGCCACCATTGGTCGCATACACGGCACCGTCGGCTGCCGGCGCCGGCGAAGCCATGCCTTGCAGGTCCTAGCTAACTTCTACTTTTTCCCTCTTTTGCCAAGACCAGAGGAAGGTGGGGGCACTGACACTCTAGCCAGTGTGCAGTGGCACACGACGGGAGGAAGCCTGGAGCAGTGCTTATATAGGAGGAGGCACGACGGCCAGGCCGAAGCACGGGAGTGCCTGGGGCGTGCCGGGCAGGTTACAGCCTTACAGAGTTACAGGTTGTTCACACCTGCCTAGAAGTGCGTCCATCCAGATATGTGTGTAATCTGTAGCCAATGGATCGTTATCGATCCGGCAGTGTGTACAGACTAAACTACAAGCTCATGCAGAAAACGTGGACCATGGACAGTGAACAGTGAGCACAGGCACAGAGCCCCGTTCATGTGCCGCTGCAGGCTAGCTGACCGCAACGCAACGGCCAGAATTCACGGGAGTGCACAGCACGCATGTCGTGGTGCAGTGCGCTACGTACGGCAAGTAGAGCGAGCCTGGAGCTAGCACTGTTATTCTTATTCATTTGCACCTGTGTCAGGCATGTTCGTCACCCATCCGCTGGTTCTGTAACTTCTACTGGGCAGTTGGGCTGGGAAAGTCAGCTTCCAGCGCTGTCACCTGCATCGGCGACGGAGGATTGGAAGATGGAAACCAGATCAGTTTGTCTCTCCTTCCATTTTTTATCTGGAGGAACCACGCATGTGGTCGCACAGTTGCAATGATCGTATCTGCCTTGGGCACGCAGCCAAGCATCAGCAGCGCATCGGGAACTAGATCTTGTCACTGCTATGGACATGGAACGGGAGCAAGAAAACAATATTCTTGGTGCAGTTGTTTGTTCGCTTCTCCTTTCAGATCTAAGGTCACTTAGTAGTTTCAGTGCAAGTAGACGCTTGGCCTGGATGGCTGGATTAGTTTATACCGATCATGATCATGTTGCATGTTCCTGTCTACCGTTGTTTTTTCCCAGCCTGTGCTGAGGACCTTGTGAATCCATTTTTTAATATCGTCAGTAAACAGGAATCTCTCTTGCAGCGGTTGAGATCAGATCTGATGATATGCTGCTAACACATCTATGTGCCGGGTGCTCTGCTGTGATTTCGGATGCATATTGACCGATAGGAAGGGGAAATATAGAAATTTGTCCGATTTATTGCAGAAATAAGGGTGCAAATTCACGTGCTAACCAAAAAAACGAGGAGAACCTATGCATCTATTATGCGTAGCGGGATCTCTGATTAGGTATATATTAGCATGGAGGCTTAATCATGCGTAAAAGAGTCATAGATTAAGACCTCTGAGCAAAGGCCCAAACAATAACATATATGAGGGACTCATCATTTAGGGGTACTTGAATCCGGTGACTAACAAAAATTAGATCATGGGTTCAGTTATGGAAGAAGAAAAATGTTTCCTGTATAACTGATATTGCAACTGCAAGCTAATTTTCCTTCTGGCATTGTGCTTTGTGGCTTTGTCTACTATGTCTCTCGGTTGGGGGCAAACTTTCTTAGCTAACAAGAAACTAATACTTTACCTAGTTATTACTTTACAATGAGAGTTTAGACAGCTGCAGTGAAGCTCTCTTGGTAAAGTAAGTCTGGACAGCCTATAGATTTTACAAAATGAACATAGTTTGAGACCATAAAAGAACATTCAGGCTTTAGTAGGTTTGCTATTGGATCGCCATTAAAATATTCTTCTCCATGAGTGCTTCCATGGTACCAGCTTTCCTTCCATGTTGAGATTTTTCAGTTGCTCTTTAGCTGTAAAGGTGCCTCCAATGATATGTTCAGGCACACTGGTCAGTGAACAGATCTATCTTGGTTAATTTACATGGAGTCCTGAATATTAGTTGGAAGGGCGGGCCTGGTGCAAGCGGTAGAGTCTTATCGCCTGTGATCAGAATGTCTCGGATTCGAGTCGCGGTCTCCTCGCATTGCACAGGCGAGGGTAAGGCTTGCCACCGACACCCTTCCCTAGACCCCACACAGAGCGGGAGCTCTCTGCACTGGGTACGTCCTTTTAGTCCTGAATATTAGTTGCCAACTTAAGCCTTTATATGGTTTTTTTCTAAAATAACCTTGACAACTGCTCCAGTACAAATAATGATACTAAAAAACAACGTGATTCCTACTGTTCCGTAAAGCCCACAAAGCTGCTTGATGAACAGTATCCAAATTGCACACATTTTATTACTTGTCAAAATTTTGCTTTGGACATAGGTCCATGATTCCCAAGGCAGCAGCAAAAGCACATACAATGATATAGCTCTGTTGCAGAGTACTCCCTCAATTCGAAATTATAAATGTTTTGGCTTTTCTAGTTAGATATATAGCTTTTGCCATATATTTAGATAGACATTATGTCTTGATACATACTAAAATCAATGCATCTAGAAAACCAAAACGTCTTATAATTTAGAATGTATGAAATATATAAGTAAATCAGAGTCCCACTGACATCTTTTACATGTAGCTCTTCCTTTTTCAACCCCGAAGCTGCGAATTTATACGGGGGCTTAGAAGGGGCTCCGTGCTAGGTCCACCCTTGCTTATATGATTTTTTTTCTCATATAACCTTGGCAACTTCTCCAGTACAACTGGTATTGAAATGTAATGTGATTTGCAGTTTTCCATAAAGCCCACAAAACTGCTGGACGGACAATACCCAAACTGTATTTTTTTAGGGAAATCTGCATATTTTTTAGTACTCGTCATGTTCGTTTGAACTTATCAACTATGGTATATTTTTCTCTCACAATAAAATAGCATCAACCGGCTTATCAACCGCAAAACCATCAGCCGAACAAAAGCACATACAGCACGATAGCAGTCTAGCAGATGTCTGCTCCAATTGGTGCAATATAATCATCATCTGAACCTTTTTGTTTTTGGAATCCACCAAAAGACATATACGTGAAAAACGTATCACTATGCATGTTGTATAGTAAAGTCAGAGTTCCAGTTGCCCAACAGTTTTTTTTTTTTTTTGGAAACGGGCCCAACAGGTTTATCGTTCGGTCAGGGTGAGAAACATATTAGTATATTATATTACCATTGACGGGTAAATTAGAAGTAGGGGCTTATTTTTTTCTATGAAAATATTGTTAGGACCATGGTGAATTGACATATATGAAAGTTTTCGATACCAATCGATCTTGCTCTCTACTCAAAGGAATTGGCAACCGAAACGTGTCGGTATTCAGAGTTGCATGTAAACTAGTGTGACCACAAACCAGTGGATCTTGAAGCCTTAACTAAATATTGCATCCTGAATGTAGCTGCTCTAGCCTCTAGTACACCTCATACGATGTTTTTGTAATCAAGTTCTTTTGTGTCGTGCCTTATTTATCATAGGAACATGCCCATTATACCTCCGAGGGTAGTAGGCCTGATTCAGATGGCACGAGGGCTCCATGTGCACAATACAGCCGGTGCTTCAGATGCAGGATCTAAAAAAAAGATGAGCGTGTGCGGTAGATTCCAAGGAGTATGGGGCTATTCTATGGCTGGTCCTAGAATACAAAAGGGTATGCCACCATCGCCTGTTCTGTGACCACCACCAACAATTTTGTTGAAGAAGAAAATTCATTGGGTGATGGGAAATTGAGGTCCGTTCAGGGATAGAATAGGCATAGGCCAGCCACCAGCCGCCAGCGCCCAGCTTGGAAAACAAATCTGGCAGATCTTGTCACGGCATGCAATGCATGCGCCGAGCTGATCTGGAGACAGGGCGCCACTGCCACAGTTGGTCCTCATCAGTCATCAGGCTCCATGTCTTTGTGTGCTACAGCTAATAACAGCCTCATTCGCGTATATGGAACTCCATGTCACGCGTAACGCGTAGGATCTCCGCTTTCACAGCGACAGTGCTAGTGCCCGCCGCTGTGAGGAGGGGGAGACACCGAGGCGAAGGTGAGGCTAAAGAAAAGCGAGGACAGAGATGCAACACCCGGCTTATTTTTTAAAACATTCGGATACAATACTTGCAACATACGTATGAAACACATGAAACATCCATCTAAAACACTAGCTGCAACACTAACACTCGAAACATGCGTATGAAACACTTGAAAACCATTTGCAAACATACACAAACATCCAGATAAAACACTTGCAAACATATGTCTGGAAAACGAGACGAAACATTTGGAGCATATACTTGAAACATATGTGTATAGCCACTACAACATGTGCAACATCAAGATAAAATACTTGCAACATCCAGATGAAACATCTGAAACACTTGAAACATACTCTTGCAACATGGGTTTGCTTGGCGAATGGAGGCACGCCGGCACGGAGGTCAACGGTAGCGCATGGAGCTCGCTGTGCGGCAGCGACACGGGCAACTCGCCGGCGGGTGTGGCGTCACACGAATCTCGTCCCCCTCGCCTGCTTGCTGGAGCATCCGTCATGGAGGCTCGCCGGCTTGGTGTAGGCGGCCGCCGCTCGCCAGCTCGGTGGAGGCGGTCACGGCGAGCGGGCCGACCGCGGCGAGGAGGCAGCGCAGTGGAGGCGGGCGAGGCAGACTGGGTCCAGTGAGGAATGCGACATGGAGGAGTCAGCGCGGAGGAGGCCGCAGGGGGATGGGGTTCGGTGCGGCAGGGGACCGGCGACGACGAGGCAGTGGCGTGGACGGATGGGCACGGTGACGCAGGGAGGAAACAACGCAACGAGCATCAGGGCGCGCAGACGGGACGAGCAGATAGGGTCGCTAGACGAGCGGCGCATACAGGAGTGGGCGGAGGGAGAAGGCGTCCATCGGTCCAGACATCTTAATTGTATCGTTAGCGTTTTCACGGCGATCCTACCTCCTGTTTTCTCTACGAGATTACAAATTTACAATTCGCATGCCAGGAGCCCTTCACCATGTTATGTGGTATTAAAAAATAATTCCAAAAACTCATTTTTTCCAACCTTTCCAATAAATAATAAAATAAAAGACCATAACACCAATAATTTTTTTCAGCAATTTACTCATGTAAAAGAAGCAGGCCAACTTGACGATTT